ACGTTCCAAAAATTTGCACCTTCTCTATCTATTAAGTTCTCTGGCCGTGTATATAAAGTTCGGTTTCGCCCTTGTTTGTTTTCTTTTTGTCTAAACGGTTTATGGTTCAACGTGAACGTAGCATGTATGCTACGTAATTGTAATTAAGAAACTCATAGCGCTCAGAAAATAGAGGACGCTGTTGAGAGCTCAAATGTATGATAAATGGAACATAAGCGGCTGGCAATGTTTTGTAGATGGTGGCGGCATCTGTGTTTTTAATAAGCCAGTCTGTTGCTAGCGCTCAGAAATTAGATGACGCTGATGTGTAATGTGATAATAAAACAAAGGTCACTGGCAAGTGTGCGGCGCTATCTGTTCTTTAGTATCACCAAAGAACTTATTGAAAGTGGAAACTATTGGTGGCCGAAAAATTAACACCATTTAAAAATTTACCAACGGAAAGTAGAAACCAGAAATTCTGCATGATAATACAATATGAGCAACATAAAGTCTGCTCTTCTCCGTGTTGCGAGCAAATAAACGAAAATAAGGCAAATCTTCATATAATTTGTAATTTTTGTTAAATTTTTTAACTTGTTTTCTTTTAATGAATATGCAAATACAATTAAAAAAAAAAAGAGTTTTGCATATAATTTACGCACTATGTACATATGAACATACATACATACGTATGTTTAAAATTACCTACTTATGAATTAACTTTTGTAGCATTAAAGCTTTGTTTAAAATAATATAAATGGATATGTAGGTACATACGCATGTATGTATAATTTCACATAATCGCTCAAATTTGCCAAAAGTTACTGAAAACTTTATTGTAAATTTTTGCACTATAATATTAGTTATTGGAATTAAAATTTTATGCGAATCCAATTTTTATTCCCATTTTTAGAAAGCGCAAGTATGTATACATATGTTCATGCCACAAAAGTTATTTCATAAGTAGGTAATTTTAACCAGACATATTTTGTATGTATGTACATTAGACTGCATCACTCCCCATACAAAAAAAAATCGGCACATTTTTCCATTGGAATTATAAAATCTATTATATTTCCCACCAAAATATTTCGGAAAAATATTAAGATTTAAGTGAGCTGGACCGATTTGAAAATACCTCCAAAAATGGAGTTTTTTTATGAATAAAAATAGTTTCTTAAAGATTTTTCTTTGAAAAAACCTCTCAAATGACAAACCGGTTTAAGCTAAAAAATTTGCATTAAGATATTAAAAAAGATTTGGAACGGAATCGTAATGATGAGATTTTTGATGCAGTTATTTTAACTTTTTCAAATATTGGTATAAGAAAAATTTGAATAACTGATTCTAAGCTCTTCCGATTTAGACTAAAGAGGTGTCATTGGAAAGGTATTTTCTCACCCTATTCATTTCTTTGCTAATAAACTCATTCAAAGGATGAAAGAGAAAGGTAGGATGACGAACGTCATTCAAAGTTGAATTAAGATATGTTGGTATTTGAAAAAAATAAAAATAAAAAATTTGGAGACGCATGTTTTTTGTTTGGACAGAAATAAAAACAGTGCGAAAATACCTTTCTACTGAGATCCCATAAGTCTAAATCAGAATAGTTTTGGTCCAGTTATTCAAGTCTTTCGTAAATCAATCTTTGCAAAAAGTAAAAAAAAAACAGCATCAAAAATATCATTCCTACGATTCCGTTGAAAGAATTTTTAAATATTTATATGCAGATATTTTAAGCCTAATTTCTTTTGTCATCTGAGGGGGCTTCTTTCAAAAAGTTCTTTAACAAACTATTTTTATTCATAAAAAACTCCATTTTTGAGGGATTTTCAAATATTTTTCCGAAATTATGCAAACATATAATTTTTTTAGGTTATACAAACTCTTCTTCTTTTCTCTTTCTTTTTTCTTCATAAAAAGAGACCACGTTAAAAAATTTAACAAAAATTAAAAATTAATGAAAATTATATGAAGATTTGCCATATATACGTTTATTTGCTCGCAACACGAAGCAGATTTTATGTTGCTCAACATTTTATTATGTTAATTATTCAACGGCATTTCTGGCTGTTCAAATACGCTTCTAAATTCCGTTGTTAATCCGTTGTAATTCCGTTGTTAAGCTGTTCCACTTTCAATAAGTTCTATGGTGATACTAAAGAACAGATGGCACCGCCTTTAGTACACTTGCCAGTCACCTATGTTTTATTACCATACACACATCAGCGTCATCTATTTTCTGAGCGCTAGCAACAGACTGGCTTACTAAAAACACAGATGCCGCCACACTTGGTGGATTTAGGCAGGCAATGGCCATCCAATTATGTTTCTCTACCATACACGTGAGCCAGGGCAGAGAACTTACATAGAATAGAGATGGTGCAAATTGAAAGTGGAACCTATTCGTGTCCGAAAAATCAGAGAACTTAGATAGATAGAGAAGGTGAATATTTTTGGAACGTAAAATTGTTTGGCTGAAAAATAAATCCATGGAAT